TTTGGCTCGGCTTGACACAAGGTGGTTATTTAGTGCAGAACAATAACTAAATGTCATGACATTAACGTTATTACCTACCTACTCGCAAAAATTAGGCGACGTTTCTACTCGTAAAAAAACGTGTTATGCAAGGTAAATGACCGTGAGATTTTAAAAATGCCATCAAACATAATTACCACGCTCGAGATTTAATTTTGATCTACCGCTGAACCATTTTCACCCTAGTTCTAGATGTGCGAAAGATTACCTAGAAAAACTAGATACGTGTACTGTTCGCTCTATTAGTATTGATTTAAAGGGACTGCAAAGTCAACACGTGTTACTGGCGGTCAATTTTCACATGTACCACATAAAATAATAATGAAAGTTAGCATAAAACCGCCGTTATCACTGACCTATTTCTGTTACGGTTCCCAAGATGAAAGATTTATCCAACGGCATGATATACCACAGAATCAACGATTCTATTCATCAGAAGCTTTAGGCCCTTTAATTAATTATTGTAATACAGGGTCGCTCTGGAAACGGTCGATTATCGCGGAAAATATACAAAAAGTTGTGAATCTTACAAATTTTGCTTAAAAATAAGAGAAGAAATGAAATATCGAATATTTTACAAGGTGTTCCATTTTTATGATCAACCCTGTATAATTAAAATTATTACTGCCTAGTAGACATTGAAGAATCCTAAAACTTTTGCATATAACTTTTTTCAGTTTCCAAACTTATCAGCGATCCTGTATACAGGGTGTCCGTTTTTTCGAGCTCCAATATGGGGGAACTGGCTTATATTTTAAAAGACGTAATGTAATTTAAATTGGGGCAAATTTACGTATTATGGTGCCCAATGTCCGAGCCAATGTCTTCAGAGGTTGCCGAGATTTTTGTAAAGATCTGGAGAAGGCATGAAAAGTCACAACGGAAACGTTACAAAAATTGGTGAGAAATGTTTCCAAAGAGACGTGGGGGAGAGTAAAGACAAAAATGTACGCGTAAAGAAAGCGGGATGGAGGGTTGAAGCAAGCGTGAACGAGATGCACAGTAACCGTGAGAAAGATACCAAAAAATAAAAACTGGGAGAGAAATGAAAGAGCCGTGCTAACGTAAAAGGAGATGTGAAGAAGGCTTAAAGAAGTAAAATTACAAAAAAAAAACATAAATAACTAACGAATATATAGAAAAGCAAACGAAAATATCATTTTATTTTCAAAAGAATTCGTACCAAAATAATGGAAGTTCAATAATTATTATTGTTCTTCTGTGGTTTTCTCTTTCTAGCATAAACATCAAGCTTTGATAAGTTCATATGATTTGATGTCACTGTAGTCACCAAAAAACAAGCAGGTACGTACCAAGGAAAACACTAGAATTTCAGTTGACATATAAATAACTTTCCTCTGTTAAATGGTTGTCATATTGGATTTGTACACAATTTTTTTTACTTTATTTTTAATGATATATAATTTTATAATTGATCCAAAATACTATAATTATTTTTAACTGCCTTAATTAATTTAATAATCAAATTAATAATTAATTTAACTGGTATTTGTTCAAGTATCGATCGTCTTTCATCCTTAAAAAAGACTAAAAAATATCTTTAATCGTGTCTGTCATTATTTAATAAAAATTTAATAAAAAAATAAATTAACCTAATCTGCAGAGGAAGACCGAGGTTAGAAATAACCCACTTTTTCACAACTATTAAGCAAATAAAAATGAAATTTTACCCAACGGTAAATCAATAAAAATGGCGTTTGATACCAAGACGTCCGAGATTTTAGTTTCTGAAAATAAGAGAACTCTACACAAAGAAAACATCTGCAAACTTTATCATTTTGCGATATCTTATCAATTTAAATAAGCAATAATTTCACATTAAATCAAAGACGAAACACATCCATAGCGTAATCACCTTTTTAAAGTGTATTTCAAAAAACATCAAATGTAATTCAGATTAGTCAATTAGATTTTAGAGATTGTTAAACGAGGGGTGGTCCGCTCTCCTAAATAGGTACACAAATTAGAAATGTGTATTTATAAATACTATTTAAATACAAGAAATATAACAAATTCCTCTTAAATACGGAAAAATACGGAAAAATACTGTACAAGTTAAAAAGTAATCGTAAACGATTTACATAAAGCGCATTTCCACTTGCATTAATTTCCCATTTGTAAGATGCAACTTCTGTTAAAATCGTAAAAATCCGGCCACAAATATGAAAGGTAGCGTTGCACATGGGCAATCAATTTTTGTCGTGCTACTTCAATGTCAGTTTATGAGAAGAATTTCATTTCAATGCTTTTCTAAATAAGAAAGTTGGAACTGCGCATGCGCAAACCTAAATTTTGAAACTAATGTAAGATTTTCCTTTGTTCCAAGCGCCTAAATATCAAATTTCACTTAAATGCTTCAATAGATAAAAAAAGTTGGCACTGCGCATGCGCAAAATAAAATTTTGAAACTGGCGCTAAATTTTCCTTTATTCCAAGCACCTATGTATCAAATTTCATTTAAATGCTTCCATAAATAAAAAAATGGACACTGCGCATGCGCGAAACCAAATTTTGAAACTGGCGTTAGATTTTCCTTTATTCCAAGTGCCTATGTATCACATTTCATTTAAATTCTTCCATAAATAAAAAACTTGGCACTGCGCATGCGCAAAACCAAATTTTGAAACTGGCGTTTGATTTTCCTTTATCCCAAGTGCCTATGTATCAAATTTCGTTTAAATTCTTCCATAAATAAAAAATTTGGCACTGCGCATGCGCAAAACCAAATTTTGAAATTGGCGTTTGATTTTCCTTTATCCCAAGTGCCTATGTATCAAATTTCGTTTAAATTCCTCCATAAATAAAAAAGTTGGCACTGCGCATGCGCAAAACCAAATTTTGAAATTGGCGTTTGATTTTCCTTTATTCCAAGTGCCTATGTATCAAATTTCATTCAAATACCTTTATAAGTAAAAAAGTTTGCAATTCGGTTTATAAATGGTCGAGATGCGAAAAGGGCACTGTGAATTTTGAATCGATTCGATCCAACTTTTGGCATTGCGTATTATATGGCTAAATCTATGCCCATATTGAATTTCATGCATTTCAGTTCATAACTAACGGAGATGTAAAAGCGATCGAACATTTCTAAACAAAGTTATCGTTCACACGGACAGATAGATGGACAGACAGACAAAGGAACAGACAGACAGACCAACCGGCAGGCGACAGATAGCAATGCAAAATTATAAACGATCTCTAGGATCGTTAATAAACGGCAAAAGTGTAAAATTATGGAACATGTAAAAAACGGTTTTTTGTTTTTTTACAATAACTTTTTTCGTAAGCAGTACAGAAAAAATTCGTTCCTTGGTACAAGACTCGACACCATAACGAACCAATAGCGAAAAAAGTAGAACAATAGCTCTTAAGATAAAGAACTAGTAGCGTGGCAAAACGAGCGGACGGCCGGACGGCCACAATAGCGCATTTTTTTTTATTTTTGTGGAAATGCGCTAAAAATACTAAGAAATAATAAATAATACGAATGAGGGTTCAAAATTGATAATCGGTTTTTGGTCAAAAACTCGAAATTTTCAAATGGAAAGTACTCGGGAAACTATATCTTTACTATGCATCAAAAGAAAGAGCATAAAAAAGGACAAACAAGTACTTCAATTGTTTATGCTCTATCAGAAAAGATAGTGCCATTTGAAATAAGAAAGTTCCGGTACCGTTCTGATACAACCGGAAAAGCGGCCATCCTGAAAATATTTTTAAATGAATCCTTTTGATCGATTATTCAAAAAAGGTAATGGGTCCCGAATTGAAATTCAAACCGTTCTTAAGTTACTTCTAATGGTCCACTTAAAAACACCACCCTGTAGAGTTAGAATGTTTTAATTGGTAAATATTAACCAACGATAGATCTGTCACCTTTTTTCGCTTTTTTTATTCGGCCCTAATTTTAAAAAAATCAAAAATAGACAACCATCCATTCCGCGAGCCCTTTGCCGCTCGCTTTAGATGTTGCAATATTGCATACATTTGGCATAATGGCCAAGAAAAAGAAACCACTTAAATAAATTAAATTATTTTCCTCTTTATAGATCGTTCAGAATGTCAGGGCAACTGGAGGGCCAACCAGATATCATTACCTCATATGAATCTGAAATGGGAGTGGTTTTTCCGGAATATTAAAAAAAAACTTACTGGTTTTTATAATCAAATAGGCTCATCTGTAGAAGAAAAATCGTTCTTAAAAGATGCTTTTTTTCATTTTGAGACTCAAACGGTCCTACAGAGTACACTGATGTATCTGCTACCTTCATGCACGTGGGTGACCATGAAGAGGGGGGGGGGCACTATTTATTAGCTACGTCACCTGATATTGTGCTAGTTTCACACACATGTGGGACACCCTCTGTATACACAAATACTGGGAAATACCTTGCATTTTAAAAGTAGGTAATAATTATCGGTAGGTGTATTACCAATACTTTTGAACGAGGCCGTTACACAAATTAGATGCTATTACCTGCACGTGTGACAATACGTATTTTAGGCACTTCCGTGTGCATGGAATCGCGTGTCTGATAAAAACTCGGCCACATTTGAAGAAAACAAATAATTTATGTGGCAATTTTGCAAAAATGGTGGATTATTCTTGGTAATTAATTCCATCTACAATCACTCAAATGCTCAATGTCTACGATTTCTGAGAGGAAAGAAAACCGATACTTATTGCATGATATTCTCCAATAACACCTGCCTTTTAATTACCTTTTCATTAAATATCAATCACAAATGAGATCTTTAAATTTTAAAAACAACTTTTCAAGGTAAATTGCCATCTACAATTTCTAAGCGTACGAGTGAAAGTTTTTTAATGAACTATTTTTTTAAATCACAAAAAACGGAACGATGCACCAATCAAAACAAACTAACCTAGGTATCAATAACAGTGACAGAACAATTTACGTGAGGTGTTTGTGACTTACCTTTAAGGTGATTTAATTAAAAATTCAATTAAAAAAATGGCACACGCAGAACATTTTCGCGACAATAACAAAAATTCTACGTTAGCACAACTCGGAACAACAGTGCATTTGGCACTAGTTTTTCTACCAATACAAGACGGTTTCCCCCGTTTCCCACCTGTTAATCACCAAATGTCCCTAAAGTGAAACAGTAACCTTTAATTAGCGGAATGACAGGAGTAGATAATTCAAATTTGTGTTGTTTTGGGCACTTTTTAATTAACTAAAGGCAGATTTTTATTTTCCCACCATCGCGAAAAGTGAAATAGAAATTATGTATTCGTTTTATTACAGTCGGACACAGTGGCGTAGCAATATTCATAATTCCAATATATTTTTTTTTAATTGAAAGATGTAGAAGAGATAAATGGACTTAACCCTCGGTTTGATTTATCGCATATACTACAGTTGTTGTATTATTATATTGTAGAAATAATCACTTGCGAATTTGTTGTATCGTACGCTACTGGCGACGTGAGACACTGCACTATTTTGACGGATTTTTTTGAGGTTAAAATTTCAGTTTTCGAATATACACGTCATAAGGGGCAACTGAAATGGATATAACAATATTATTTAAAGCCTGTGTAAAAACAGTAAGAACGACAAATAAAAATTTAGGTAGAAAAGAAGAGAGCACCAACATACTGAAGATTTCTCGTGACACCAACCTCAGTAAAGCTAAAGAAATAGTAAAACAAATCGGAAAGTTGCACGACTTCCTTATTGAAAATCGGATGGGTTACTTAAACGTTGTTAACTATTTGTCGACGAATAAAACGATGACGGAACTTGACCGTCAAGAAGTCGACACAGTTGCCCAGACTATAATCAACAATTGTACGACAGAGTTAACCACCTGCCGACAGACTATCCACCTACAGAAAAACACGAAACAAAAGGAGGAACACTATGAGAACGTTATCGACTCGATTGACCGTTACCTTAAGCAAGTATCAAAAATCTACACAGAGGCGAAAGCGGTCCGAGTGAAACGTGTACTCGAAGCTCATAAACTATCGAAATTAGAAACGAAACCCGACCAACCTACCTCGAAGGACCCCGTCCGTAAACCGAGCATTACAGTGCCGATGCATACACATGAAACGGTCGAAAATCAATTATCTCCCGAAGAAATGCAAATGTTCGAATCCGAGAACGATCTCATGTTTGACGAATTGAACAGTTTATCGGACGAGGTGAAGCAGATCGAAAGCAAGGTCGTGCATATATCGGAGCTGCAGGAGCTGTTTACCGAAAAAGTATTGCAACAGGAGCAGGACATCGAAAGAATCGCAACGACGGTAGTGAAATCGACCGACGATATGAAGGATGCGAACGAACAGATACGGCAGGCGATTCAGAGGAATGCGGGATTAAGGGTGTGGGTTTTATTTTTTTTGTTAGTGATGTCTTTTTCGTTATTATTTTTAGATTGGTATAATGATTAAATTCCTAATGTATATAGCCATTTTGTAATTTAAAATTAAAAATCTGAATAATACGCGTCTGGTATATTTAGTTTTGTATTAAAATACTGAGCAATTAGAACGATGCACGCTTTAAACCTTATCTTTACAAAATTGCAATTTGAGGCATCGGTACCTTATGCTATTGTATTGACATGCAGAAATAAGATCTTTAAATTTAGTGAAAAAATTAAAGCGGCTCATTTTTTCCTTTTTCGTGTGTAACTAAACTAATCTAAAACTAAAGCGAAAATCGTATTACTGCAATTTCTGGAAAAGCTTTCAGGTCAGAGTTTCGGTAAAAACCGAATGAAAATCTTTTTATCTACCTTTTGGGCGAAATAAAAAAATTATAGTCCCTACTGAAGAAGCTAAAAACAAAAATCCTTCTAAAACGACTTTGTTTTCTAGTTGTTTTCTGTTGATAAATTGTTTAAATTTTGAATTTTAAATTTTTTCATATTAACAAGATTTATCATTGTCACATTCACATTCAATATTTTTTAATAAAATTAGGCAAGAATTGAAGTTCTATTGAACAATTGATTGTTAACCTTCAAAGTTACCCATAAAGGCTTGTTAAGCCTTAGCAGCAAGAATTCAAGCTATTTTTAAGTAGTTAATGAACTTGTATAAGTCTATATTTTGAAAATATAAAAAAGAGATCAAAATTCTCTATTAACTTTACTAAAAATAATTAACTAAATAATTTGAATAAAAATAAAAAATGTCAATCCAAAAAAAATATCAAAAAATTTAAAGAAATCGGTAAAAATCCCTTTCAAGTCAAATATATTATCATATCGAAAACGAGGTAAAGTGCCCCGAGTTCAAATAAATAAAAATGCAATAAATAATACAAACAAAAAATAAATAAAATTATTAAATAATCCACCCAAAAATACATAAACAAATAATGAACTCATAAATAAAATTCTTGAATATTCCGACATAAAAATCAAAGCAAAACCTCCGCTTCTATATTCAACATTAAATCCAGAAACTAATTCTGACTCTCCTTCAGCAAAATCAAAGGGAGTTCGATTAGTCTCAGCTAAAGAAGCAACAAATCATATTATTCTTAAAGGAACTCTTATAAAAATAAATCAAATATTAAATTGATAGATGAGTATATCAAAAATTCTTAAACTACCAATTAAAACTAAAAAAGACTAACTTCATAAGAAATAGTTTGAGCAACACAACGCAATCCACCCAATATAGCATAATTAGAATTAGAGGATCAGCCAGCAATCATAATTGTATAAACACCTAATCTTGAAAGACATAAAAAAAATATAAACCCTAAAGAAAAATTTAAAAAAATTGTTAAAAAAGGTAAACAAAGTCATAAAAATAAAGAAAAAATTGGAGAAAAATAATATATTAAATAATTAGACATGGCTGGAAAAATTTGCTCCTTTGAAAAAAGTTTAATTGCATCACTAAAAGGTTGAATAATTCCAGTAAATCCAACCTTATTAGGACCTTTACGAATTTGTATATATTGCCTGATTATTAAATTACGGAAGATGAAATTTTTTATTGTTTATTGAATGTATAAAAAATGATTATGCACTTGATTCTACGGGAAAAAAACAAAAGAAACTAAATATTTGTTTCTGAAACTACAATCAAAATTGAAAAATTATCGTACCTATGCAATAATGAAGTTTGACATATAGCAATCTAGATTCGGATATGTTTCAATTTTATATTAAGATTAACGCAGCAATTGTTTTTTATTTCCTCACTAGAGAGGAAAATCGCATTTTCTTCGCTCGTTTTAGAGACGAAAGTAATTGTTTCTAAAGTAGTTTAAGAAAAAGTTAATTTCACATCACCAATAGCCCGGAGTACTTAACCGATAACAATTGTTTTTTGTTTGATCGTTTTAAACGAAAATGTGAGCAAACAAAATTTGGAGGAAAAAACTACTAAGTAATTCCTCTGATTCTACCGTGTTTTTAGTGTTTCCAGTAATTTGAAAGGGTTTCAAGCACTTAAAATGGCTTCCTGTTTAACCTATCTCTTATTTCTCTAAATTGAGCTGTTTTTACTAGTTCTAATGCTCTTTTTAGTCATCCTACTCGCAAATCGCCTGACCCTTTCGATTGTTTCGAGTATTTGACTGGGGTTTTCTGATTACCTTCTGTCAACTGATACGATTTCCGAAACTGCTAGTTCTGTGACAGGTCAGCTGAAATTTTCCATTTACTCTTGACTGGCTAAACGAGTTCCCTGTATTTGAATCTCTATCTCCTTCTTCTTTGAGCACCTGATGGTCTTCAATCCATGAACTGAAACGTTTCAGCGGCATTCCAGCACATGTGTGGGAAAATATCTTAGAACCTTTATAAAAATTAAACTAATGAAACTGACCTGGTATGGTGCCTGATTGTGTCTTTAGTGATCCTGTGCTGTTCTTACAGTGACGTCTCTGACGATCCTTCTCCTGCGTTTTAGTAAGGTTTCTTAAATTTCTGGACTCCACAGTCCTGTCCTTCGATCTGCTCTTTAAATCTGCAGGCTGATGATCCTTGTCCTCATTTCCTTCCAAGCCGACGTGACGATCTTATCATGTCGTTTTCTTTATGATACGATCACTCTAGGATACCCAGTGCAAAGTAGTAAAGCTAAAGAACCAAGTTAGGGCCAAAGACAAAATAAAAAATCTTTGAGAAAATAAAGGAGCGGTATATGGCTATATCATCTTTATCTTACCTTGACTACTTCCAATGCCTACTGCCCAAGGGTGACTACTATTAGACTATCGTCGTTAGCATCTGTCCAACCAACATTTTTTTCTTCCTTTGTAAACATCTTAGCATTTACACTAAATTAGGATATTGTACAAGAAATTTAAAAATCGATACAAAAATATATTTCAAGAATCTCTTTCTGCATCCCTTTAGAAAACTTATTTGAGCGCATAATTCTACAGGGAACATTTAAAGATAAATTTTTCAATACAAAATCGAAACATAAAATTAAAGCAATTCTTGAGGAAGTAAAATACTATAATTAGTATAGAAAATATACAGTTAGTAGTTAAAAGTTCATCCATTTCTTCTTTTTTTTTGTCGTCTGCAAGGATGTCCCTTTCAATACCTACTGCCAATCCTAAACAAAAAAAAAATATTTTTGTTTTTATGTGCTCAGTCACCAAGCCGCCCCTGAAGTTGTCAACCATCCAAATCTTAGATCGAGTTTTAGCTTAATGTGCTATCAAGTTTAAGCATCACAACCTTCCAATAGCATTCTTAACTTTTGTTTTCATTTAATCATAGCTTGTGTTCCTGCATACCATTATTCTTAAAGCTAATGTTTTTTCGATCTATTTATATTTTAATTAAATTAAAAATACAGATTACAGTTTATTCCAAATAACACTACGAGTACATTATATTACTACAACTAACGCAGAACAAAATAGCTAATCAAGTTACATGTTATACCTAATTGTTTACTCCAATAAAGTGAATGATAAAAATGTACAGTCTTAATAAGTAAAAGTACACAATTAGCAAATTTGAAATTAATAACAATAGGAAATATAAAAAAATATGTTAGCTTTACACATGGGTTCCACTGGGTTTTGTAGATGAACGGAATGTTTACCTCCTGTAAGGATGGTAGGATTGTTGTGTTCCATAGTTAGAAGTGCCACGCTGAGGACCTCCCGCGTACGAATCGCCTCCGGCAGCTGTATAATCACCTACGAGAGATGAACCATTGCTTTTAACTTTCACCACAGTGGTTGGATGATACAGGAGGGAACTAGGATTGGGTTTCAGATCTGGAAATTTTATTGAAAAAGAATGTAGGTTGGATATTTAAAAATATTACCTTTCGTGGACCAATAAACAAACGAGTGTGTATGCATTTAAGTTGAAAACATAAAACGCACTGATATCATTTATATTTATTTGTACATGGGCGTTACATTTAAAATTCATTACCTCACGTACTTTATACATTTTTACAATTTGAGGTGCTTCCATTAAAATTTCTCTTCAGGAGAGAATGAAAAAATGGGCGTTAATTAAAAATTTTTCTCTAGGAAATGCAGATAACTAAAAATTATAGTCGTATTTATAAAACCATTTCCGGAATAGTACCATACGTTAATGTTAGTTGTAGAGATGACTGGGAAGGCGCGTCAAAGTAACAGTTGTCTGCAAAAGACAAAAATCAATACTAAACATCCAAATAATAAGAACTATGTCGATCTTAGACTACTAAATAGTACACTATATAACCCCTTAATATCAAAATTTTGAATACTAACTTTTTAGTCTTCTTCAAATAAATATTATACAACAATCAATTCGAACGGTAACAAAATTTATAATGTTTTCAAATGCAGTGTTGTATCATCGGATGAGCAGATAAGAAAAACTATCAAAATTACAGATTGCTGCGACACATTTAGCAAACGCCCAGAGCTGCCGACCCGATTTAAAATTAAGGTGAAATTTTATCGTAATAATGCAATATTATAATTTTATTCTGCGAGTGGGAAATGAGAAAACCTTTCACTTAGCACTCTATCGAAAAAGTTATAACTCTTGAGAAATAGAGAAAACGTGTTTTTAGTCACCTGTTTCCACTTCTACCACAATCAAAAGTTTGAGTTCCTGAAAAAAGCATACACTTTGACCTTGGAAATTTCAACCACATTTTGTACTGTTACAAATACATTCGAACGAAGATTAAATTGAAGTGTCTATCCCATTAACGCTAGAAATTACTTACAATGCGAAGAGATTCATCTACAATATGTACCGAAAATTTTTGCCAGCAATAAATTGGATAAGGATTTGGACGGGAAACTTGCAAACAATAAAAGTCAATTAGATCCATAATTTAATCATTATCGTCTAATGAAAGATAATGATAGGTACATTTTTTTGTTCAGTATTGTTAATCTAATGTCATAAATCCACGCTAAATATATTAAAGATTAAGTTAACTACCCCAATAAAAATGCGCTACTTCTTAGACGAATAACTAAAAAATTGAAAAACCAGGTCTCGTCGAGTTAACAATTACTACTAGTATTAGACAGACCTTTACAATACTTCAATAATTAACAATAGTTTTCTATTAATTGCTTGCAAGTGATAAAATACTATGAAGCTAATATACAAGTGACGAGGAAGATAAAGTGAGTTATCGATATATGTATGTATATTATATAAAAACAGGAGAGACAAGGATGAGTTAAAAGAGGGACAAGTTATGTAACTAATTTCTTGCCAAGTAGTTGTGACGATATCTATATATCACTCATCAATAGACTTATTAATTAAAAACAAATTTACACACCTATAGGTTCACACTCATATATTTAATATACAGATTTTTTCTTTAATTAGATCACTGGCTTACGCGATTTCAATTAATTATACTTAAAATAAGACGATCTTTTGAGCAACAAATACCATATATAAAAATCGGGCAGTGCCTGCACCAAGAGCAAACACATAATTCGCTAAACAATATAAATTTACGTTTAAAACATTTGAGGATTTTTTTCTTTACATAATAACTATTCTTGCTAGATAAACCACATGTGAAATTGCACTATGTTAAAGGCCCTAATCGTAATCATATACTTATAAAGTATGTTTTATTGTATAATAGTTTAAAACTTATTCTGTATGTTCTCTGTACATCAGTCAAATTGTTCTAAAGTTACTATTTAAATTTATAATTATTCTAACAATTGAATTAACTACGTCAGCAATATTGTAATACAAAATACAATTTAATTAATTAATCTATATTAGTTTGTAAATTTATCTTGTAATATTTTGCCTAAAGTATAACTACTTTAACAATTATTTACTTAGGTATCGGCATAAATGTATATTAATATATTCGTGTGTAGTATAAACCCTACTATTTTCGATAACTTTAAAAATAATAAATAAATAACGCGCCCCACCTTGTAACTACCCCAGGAAATATGGATAAGGAAAAGAGAGGAAAGTTGCTTTATATATTATTTGCTCCGCTAAAATTTAATGTTAAAAATTCAACTGCCAAATTTTCACTCGAGCGTTATAAAAAAAAAAACTGAGAAATCAATAAGAGTGCCATTATTAGTGAAGATCATTGTACACCTGCGTTTGTATCTCGAGAGTTACAGCAACATCTCTCTATTCGACTACGATAAATTTCTCATTAACCGAAGAGTGTTAGCCTTTTTTTTTAAATGACCGAAACAAAAGGGCTACGATGGTAATACGAAATCACTTCTTACTATAAGATTGTCACATAAGAATTTTAACTAACTTAGAGAAAGAAAATCAATTATCGTTTGATTAGATAGACACATTAAACCCAGACAGACAGAACTACATTCCTCTAATTATAATTTCACTATGATATATTATTAGGAAGTAAATTAATAACCGCTACCCTAAATTTATTATACAATTATTCCAAATATATCAACGCGTCCGCAGCAAGGCCTACTCAGTGCAATTCTTAAAGGTTAAAGATCAGGTCGCGCAATATTAAAAATTTAAACTGCCTATATCACAACACAACTAGACATGGAACTCTTACGCTATTATAAACACTGTACTCCGAACATTAACCGTTGTCGTCATGTAAATTTAGTGACAGACGAACCTCAATTATCCGAGCTGGGAATATATGGGATGACAAAAGGAAATCCTGTAAAGCACGGAGAATGGAGGTTTACTGTGCTCACAGTCTACCTAACATAAAAATTATACCGTAGAGAATAAGAAATATAAATAAAAAAAAAAGTGTAGAACTTACAACCTTGGGATAATTATATAAAAACGAATAATAAACGAGTAAAATTGCAGTTGGGAGTTGGCAAATTCCGCACACGTCGGTATCGATTAAACAGACCGAGTCGTTTAGCTGCGATTTTCTCTAGTACTTCCGCCGACCAATTAAAACAATAAAATTCGCGAACCAACAAAAGGTGGCCGTCGAACCGTAAGAAATTCGACAGAGAAATTACTCACCCTGTACATTAGACAGACAGTAATCAAATTGCACGAAATACGAATAAAAGAAATTGAACCACACACACACACTTCTTGTTTCGTAAAAAATTCAATAAAAACAACACCCTAATTATCGTAATTTCTACTACCGAACGATTAAAAGAATTAAAATAGTATTTGTTAAAAAAAATAAATTAAAATACTATATTAAGCATCTACAGTAGTACAGCCAGACTTCGATAAAATATTCCTAAATATCTACTTGTGGTTGAATTCTTAAGTAATTTCTATTATTTGTATAAATAATTTATAAATAGTGATCTTAAAATTACAACGATTATTTAAAAATTTTATTATTACCCTTAAATATATCAGAATGCCTACTCGTTCTTAAAAATTTGTTCTCAACTAATAAATAAATCTATATACAAAAACGTCTACAGATTCTTGGAAAATTATACGTTACATCAGACTAGAATTATAAGATGCACTTAAAAGTAGATTTTTAGACGTAGGTACTAAATTAAGAAACTAGTTTAAATGCGATCACCCTAATTATGAAAATTACAACAATATGAATCACATATCGATAGGCATTCGTTAAAGGAACCGAGCAGGCATCCCAAAGGCAGATAATTGAAGTAGTTATGAGGTAAAAATTTGATTTACATTATGTTACTACTTATTAACAAGTTGAGCAGTGCTTAAAAATAGTCAACATTTCTGTCTGTCTGTACTTTTTCAATGTTTTCGTTAATTAGAATTATGTATTTATATATTAATGACTCGAAAGAACGGAACAGTAACCGAAGCAGTTTTGAATGTCTGTGCCATGCAGGTGCGGACAAATTACTAACGGCAACAGACGCAGGATGCCGATGGGTCATATGTCTGTCTAATCAGAATAATTGAGTTTGGCGGGTGTAACCAGTCCGGATGTTCTCTTCACGTTTATCAAGCCAACACGTTTCCAACTGTTGCAACACATACTCATATTACTCAAGTTACTTATGTGCTTCAATGTTACTCCTCCTGGACTGTTTTCCGGTGGACATGCGTACTCCTCATCAATATTGGCGCACTTATTCGAAATATCCATACCCTCTAAATACGAAGTAATCGTTTTAATACCGTTAAAAAAGAAGTTAACATTTTTCGAACGACCGTCCAACGGAACATAAGGAGGAGTAAAATTGGTGGCGCACATATTATCTAAAGGTTGTCAAGAACTGGGCCACTCTTTAAAATCATTGAAATGTTTAGCACCTGCGTTGGGTGGCTGCGAAGAGTACCCTCCCAGCTGTGAACTCGCATCGTTACCATAAGAACGTTGAGGAATACCATAACTCGTCTGGTCCGTCGAATAAGAACCGTAATTGTAATTGGAATAGTCAGATCCCGGTTTGGAATTTGCGTTCGACGACGACATATTGGGAGGAGCGTTGGGCGTTGTGGGACCTCCGGGACCTGATTGCTGCCGGGAATACATATCCCCTGCAAGATACCCTGTCAGCAACGGTTAATGTAAGTCTCATTTCCTCGATGCGAATTGTGTTTATAACTCACCTGACGGACCCGTCGACTGATTACTTTGTGGCATGTTCCAGCTGTTCCAATTCGTACCGCTTCCCGTACCTGGTCCTGTAAAACATCACAGTATTTAGGTATATCGTTTCCGACACAATTTGACTTAACCTAAAAATGCTTATATAAAACCAGTGTAATTAGATGTCAGCTACCATTTGAGCTAATACATACGTATTTCACAATATTGAAACATTTACAGTCCACGTACCAGAGGACAAATTTTGTCAAGTCATTTCCTCTCGGGTGATAATTTAAATTGTATCTCCTATCCCTTAATAAATTTATATTATTATTATTATCATAAAACTCTGTGTGCATCAGCTGCAATTCAGTGGGTGGGTCAAGCAGCGGTGGCCTCCCACACGTTAGGAAAAAATAATTTTAGAAATTTTCTCCCCAGCTAAACAAATATATTGAAGAAAAAAAACGTAAGTTGAGTTGACTATGAGGTGGACATGGCCATGGAATTATTCCCATACAAAATACATTGTAAACTTCGAGACCAAAATCCAAGGTTGATTCCCACATAGAATACTAAGTGTTTAGTACCACTGGTTTTGTAATTTTTTTCTCTATAGAATGACGTAAAAATCCAATATGGCGTCCATTTAAAATAAGGACGTTGCTGTCAAATATCTCGAAAACATCTATTGGAATCTTGCAACTATTATTTGAAACTTTTTTCGATAGCTCTCTTTGTTACTAAAATATTTTTCCAAATATCGCACTGGAATATCCATCAGCATCAAAAACAACGCAACTTTGCCAATTTAACCGAATCTGTAAGTATAATAATAACAAAGATGGCCATGTTATCCTACTCAATTTAAGACACCCTGTATATGCATTGGCATTGCCTAACATTCCCATATATTGCCATTACTGTGTGTACATTTTAAATCCTTTTGAGATTTTGTAAGTTAAGACATACCGCTACAGGACATGCTGGTGCTGTGTTGCAAAATCACACTGTGCACAATTTAAAAATGTGAAAGTATTGTGAGTTAAAATACGCTGGTACCACCAAGCAAAAAGGCTACAGTGGGCTATGCACAGATGAGTAATTTAGAGTCTGCCGGAGGAGCAAACTGATGCTATTTCGCACTAATAGGTGCAATTAATAAAATATTAAGTGCTCACTACTGCTACAGTAGTTCATTGTACAGGGTGGCCAAATAAGAATGCGAGGTACTGTATCTGGGAACCTGTCCATCGTAGAGGCTTGCGGTAAAAAAATTTATTACTAAAACGGCGACGAGAAAAACCTGGAAAATATTTTTAAGTTTCTGCAATGGCCGCTAGGGGGCGTAACTGCAATCTGGAATCTAAAAAAGTGATGTTTCTGTAAATTCCACTATATTAACCTAACAAAAAATGTCAGGTCTTTGAAGTTGACAATGATCTGAACTCTGAACAATTTTTGTTTGACAATTTTTCCTGTATCTCTAAAAATGAAGTGGTGGGGAGTATTCAAATGTTTCCGTAAAGAACACCATGTATCTTCGAAACGACTGAGCCGATTTTAACAAACTCAGGTTAATTGAAAAGAGTTATTCTTCGGCTAAAATATTATAATATTTGAAGTTTTGTTAGTTTCGCATATAGCCGCTTGAGGGCTTTTTTCGACATTCTGACAGAAATGGTTAATTTTCTCAAAAAAATTAAATGCTCTGGTTGGATTTTTTTTTCATAAAAAAGTAGCTAAATGATGGCTAAACAAATTCGCGAAAACCGCATCTAAATATCTTGTTCTGAACCTAAAATTTAGGCCAAAAAAAATGTTATACCCTCAAAATTTAATTTTTTTAAGCTAATTTTTCCGAAATTATTTTTATTATATAATTTGTGGCCCTAAGGTGGAAAAAAAATAAAGTGCCGCCGTAAATGCCCAAAATGCTGGCCATCACGATATAAATATATATAGGGTGATTCCTATTTTTTGGGAGCGTGTAGCTAGGAATTCTTAAGGGTGCCAGAGCCAAATTTACCTTCTGGAATTTCGCGCCTGTAGGTAGGCAACCCAACCGGCCGGCGGTTCTCAGGCGGCGATGTGTTGACATGATCAGAATTTGAAATCCCGTCTGCAACGACGCGTATCAAGTGAATAAACACTATGGCAATAGTATAATAATAGTTGGCTAGATGTAGGAAGTTTGAGAAAACGTTACGTTGTTTGACTGTCGTTTTCCCTCCTTCCCTCCCATGTCGCTTCCTCGCGCTAACTCGCTCTGCATCGCTCCGCGCGAAACGTCGGTCGGTTGGGTTGCCTACATACAGGTGTGAAATTCCAGAAGATAAATTTGGTTCTGGCGCCCTTATTTTAGATTTCCGACCCCAAGTGTCCTATATCAAAATACTCCCCTAGGCACCCCCTATACGCTCCCAAACGGTGGCAGGTACTATAGGAATCACCCTGTATATATAATCGAGATGCTATTTTCGCGAATTTGTTTAGGCATCATGCTACTTCTTCATGAAAAAAAAATCGAACCAAAGCATTTAATTTTTTTGAGAAAATTAACCATTTCTGTCGGAATGTCGAAAAAAAACCTCAAGCGGTGATATGTGAAACTAACAAAACTTCAAATAGTATTCATTAAAATATTAAAAGGAACCACAAAGAATCTCAACGAACCAAAAAATGGAGAACTTCATTACATATATTCAAATAGTATAATTTTTGTAGCTGAAGAATAGCTCTTTTGAACTAACCCGAGTTTGTTTAAATCGGCTCAGCCGTTTCGAAGATACAGGGTGTTCTTTACGGAAACCTTTGAATACCCCCCCACCACTTCATTTTTAAGGATACAGGAAAAATTGTCAAACAAAAAAGGTTCAGATTATCGTCAATTTCAAAGACCAGACATTTTTTTTGTTAGGTTAATATAGCGGAATTCACAGAAAAATCACTTTTTTAGATTCCAGATTGCAATTACGCCCCCTAGCGGCCATTGCAGAAACTTAAAAATATTTCCCAGGTTTTTCTCGTGGCCGTTTTAGTAAAAAATTTTTTTACCGCAAGCCTCTACCATGGACAGATTCCCAGATACAGTACCTCGCATTCTTATTTGGCCACCCTGTACAATCACACTGTGCACATTTTAAATTATTTGAACACTTGTGTCTTAAGAGATGTTGTTTCAGACTATGTTGAAGATATGTTGCAAAATTGCCTATTGCTATGTGTACACTTCGGGTGCTGCTTTTTTAGATTCCAGATTGCAATTACGCCCCCTAGCGGCCATTGCAGAAACTTAAAAATATTTCCCAGGTTTTTCTCGTGGCCGTTTTAGTAAAAAATTTTTTTACCGCAAGCCTCTACCATGGACAGATTCCCAGATACAGTACCTCGCATTCTTATTTGGCCACCCTGTACAATCACACTGTGCACATTTTAAATTATTTGAACACTTGTGTCTTAAGAGATGTTGTTTCAGACTATGTTGAAGATATGTTGCAAAATTGCCTATTGCTATGTGTACACTTCGGGTGCTGCTAAGAGGCTACGTTATTTACGGTTTATATGACTGGACTGCCTAGCCACTCGCCATGCGCAAAATAAGCAAATTATGGTTAACTGCTAATTAGAGATAAAATGGGAACGAGAGGGGGGGGGGGGGTAACCTCGAGAGTTTCCCAGACTCCAACTGTGATCAATTTCCTTGTACCTAGTCAACGACTAGCGCGCCTGTTGCCTTAACTCAAGGTTATTTTATGAACATTGCTTGTCCCACGCAAGAAGTGCAAATTAATTTAAAAAAAAAAAAACTGTATATAACTAGATTACGATTGGATGAATAAGGCTGATTTTTTTACGCACTAATGATAGGAACTGGTAATTTTTTCTCTAATTATAAGATTGATCTTATAAAATATCTTATAATTAGAGAAAAAATTTATTCCAGCTTGTTAGGAATTGCTCCCGCCCGCTATTAGTGCATATTTCTACCTTTCAAGAACTTCGGTTGAATATAAAATTATATTTGTTTCTAGTTGACAAATGTCACTATGATATAAGTGAATATTTTACTGTTTAATGTAACTTGTTTGTCGCTATTTAATGTGTAATTTGTTTTTTACCTATATAATACTTAATGTACCTACTCGTAATTTAAATATTTGTTGACAATTTCCACACAAACTAGTTTGTCTATGGAATAAAATACTATTATTATTATTATTATTATTTTGGTACTGGCAGTACCCAACAATACTCAGTGCACCCAGTGATTTTTTTCAGCCCTCCGATGGTTAATCTTGAAGTTTACAATGTATTTCTTATGCCATGCTTTCATTGTTTGTCTGAGCAGCTAGTGCATTATCCACCACTTTATATTCAACTGACTTTTTTTGTTCTTCAAGATATTAGGTTAGCTATAATTTGATAAATTTTCATTCGGGAGGAAATGACTAAAATTAATTTTTCTTTCAATGTGTGCGAGAGGCCTCCGAGGCTTAAACCCAGCCATCGAATTGCAGCTGACGTACACAGAGCTTCATGATTCAACGATCTAAAGTGATCTCTCGAAAGAATTTTGGTAATGGAAATCTGTTGCTGCTTCGGAACTCTTAAGACAAGTGTACTGATAACATGACATGCACAAAGATATTTGTAAAAATGTTACATCTCAACAGTAATGAAACTACTGAATAAACCACATGTTACATTCTTAGTCTAAAATTCCAAGCCTGATGAAGTTTTGAAAATTCCTTGACAATAACAGCATAAATGTTTATGCTCTGTTAAAAGTGATACATAAAAAAACAATTTTTATCAAGGTAATTCAGGAATAATATTTTGTAAATAATGCATGATTCAATATATTCAATTTTATGTTACTATGACTTATGTTTATTAAAGCGATTAGTAACATCATGTCAAAAATGAGTTGCTATTGAATCACCTTTGGAATTTTTGCTTACATGGGAAATCGTACTTAACCTGAATTTCCAAAAGCGCTAATTTTTGATCGCATGTTAGTTTTTAGCGCAATTTAAATAAATTTGAAAAAATGCGCTGTTGTCCAAGCTTTGCCCACCATATGGTTCAACTGCTACATAAATCATACAGGTATCAAAACGAAAGCTAATGATGTCAGGACGCAAACTTCCCCATCAACCTTCCACAAACACAACAACCTCCTCTCAAGAGGACCGAAAAAAAAGAAAATTCAACTACTACAGCAATTTTCCAGATATTGATTTCAGAGTTTTTTTTATTGGAAAGTGTATAGCAGTAGCACTTAAGTCAAAGCTTTAAACAATTGTTGGCTCCTATACAGGGTGTTTTTTTGGGAACTGAGTTAAACGTTTCTGGAAAGACGAAATAAGTAAGTTTTTGAAAATTTGTACTTCGTAGTAGTAGTAACTTTGTTATTTTAAATGATAACTCTTGATTTTTTTTTCATTTTTTGCATTCTACATGGAATTTCAGTTCTTTTGATATCGTATGTGAATATCTACAATTTATGGTTTTGAAGTTATTTTGACTTTAAGAAAAACAAATGGTAAATGAGAATTGATTACTTGAAAATGGCTTTACAGGGTGTTAAATATAAGTATGTAAAAAAAATTGGGTGATAAGAGGCATTGAAATAGAAGCCTAAGGAAGGAGGGTTACATACTTATAACATACGCTTGTTGGGATCCAATTAGGCTTCTCAATATGGCAGACTTGGACAATTAATTGATATATACGGTAAAGTGAAACATTTCATTAAAAAACAAAACTGTCAAAGTCAAGATCTTAAAAACCGTAAATTGTAGATATCCACATGTGGATATCAAACTCAAAACTGAAATTTCACCTAGAATTAAAAAATGCAATAAAAAATAGATTTAAAATAGGGAAGTGGCACCATTTTGAAAATATTTTACACCAATTCGACCTTCAGAGTAACTCCTACACACAAATTTTCAAAAACCTACCCTATTTCGTCTTCCCAGAAACGTTAAACTAAAGTTCCCCAAAAAACACCCTGTATAGGGTGGTACAAATTAGGTGCAGTAGCACTGCTTGGTAACTATAAATTTTAATGGTGAATAATCCGTCAACAAAATTTTTGTTCAATTCCCTCCTTCGTTTTATTTCTTTACCGCTTTACGATTGTATTTCGAAAAACCATAATAATAAGGCACTTTTCTATGTCCTGTAAGAAAATGATTGTAATTTTCTGATGCAGCTATACTTTCTTAACCTAACGCAAAATAATTCGATAACCTAAGTAACTGTTCCTAAAAAGTGTCTAGTTATACATACGGTACAGACTTGACTAGTTTCGATATCCAAGATCATCTTACCATAAGAACCGTAACCTTGCTGTTGTGGTGGCCCTCCATAGTTACTTCCCCATTGTGGCGGAGGCCCTTGAGGAGCGGGAGGTGCTCCCCAACCTTGATACGAACCGGGCCCAGAAGGCGTGCCGTATCCCGGGTAACTTTGTTGTTGCGGCGATGTACCCCATCCTTGATAACTCTGCATCATGTTAGGACCCATTGCGGGACCTAAATTCATAGGCGGTCCTCCCATCTGTCCGTTCGGTCCTTGCATCATACCCATCGGCGCTTGTGGCGGCCCCCACGATCCGCCGTCACTACCTCCCATTTTGTTTCCCCCAGAGCCGTCACGCGGTTCTGCTTTCTTAATTTCGACCTAGACACAAAGATATAAACCAAAAGAAATGGTACGAGACAGACTTACTTGCTTGCCATTTAAATTAACAAAATGCTCCGAAACACATCTATCAACTGAATCATCATCTTCAAACGAAAGAAAACCAAAACCTAATAAAAACAAAGCGTTAGATTTCACAATCGAAATTTTCACATTCATACCTCTGGACTTTTTCTTTTCCTGGTCATACATAATAACAACTTCCATCACTTTACCAAATCTAGTAAAAAACGTCCGTAAATCAGTTTCAGTGATATTCGACGGAAGACCCCCTAAGAATACCTTAGGATAACCTCCTCCTTTCTTCGGTTTCTGAAGAGTTCGCGGGTTGCATGGTTTGGGATCAATGGTTCTGCAAAATGAGACATTTTACAATACAAATTCTGGAACTTTGGAGGGTTTTTAACGATTTTTTGCAAAACGGTTGATTTAGGTGTGCCACCAAAAAAGGATTCCCCTAAAGTTACTTTCATTTTCCAAATCAAATAGTGTTCGTTAAGTGCAATAATTTGTTATTGTGGATCAGCTTTGCACCTATTTTTCAAAATTTATTAAATTTTAACCTCAAAAGATAATGACAGCACCATCGACATATAGAGATGGACTGCACGTGCCAATGCTAAGCGCGGATACTGCATATCTCTTTATTGTGTTTCTGTTAGTAGAATTAAATTGACATTGTCGATGGTATGACAGAGAGAGAGAGAGAGAGAGAACGAAAAGTTTGACTTTTGGGATGTCATCATATCTTACTACCCATGCAAGATAGAAAAAAGGTAAAAACTGACTATTGTAGATATTTTTACATAGAATCCAGCCGTAGTACTGACCTTTTCCGAGATTTGGCAAAGTTGGTATTTTTTAAATGCAACACCCTGTATATCTTAATTCTTAACATTAATTTTTGCATTCTTTTTCTTAATTACATTGATGTATCACAACATATACTTTTTTTATGTACTTAATTATACACACAGGATGTTAAGTAATTGAATACAGACAATACAGGATGCGAATCCTCGGGTGATTTTTAACAAGAAAAGTTTATAGTTTATTTATGTTATTAGAAGTTTTTTATAAAGAAAAAGAATATTTAAATAGATAGATGAAGTACCTCACCAATATGTGTTTAAATTATATATACATTTCTATGTTTGTTTGTTGACGTGTAAATTTGTTGTGTATACAATTTTGTGTGACAATTTTATTTATTAAGTTTAGGATATACATATGGTCATATCAACTTTTCTCTTTAAAAACACACAAAGATACACACCCTATATTATCGGCACTCAATTAATTAACACCCTGTATATTATATCATCTTTTTTCAAATTTGTGAAACGACCGTCAGGCATTTTTACCGATTGATATTGGCTGGCTTTGCTACAATGGATACAATAAAAAAAATCTCCATGGATCCATGACCTACTATTTAGGAACCGTAAAAAATTAGGTTATTTTTGTTTAGTGGTTAAAATAAAAAACAAAAGGCTGTGATACATCAATGTAATCGGGAAAAAGAATGCAAAAACAAATTGACGTAAGATATACAGGGTGTTGCATTTAAAAAAATACCAAGTGTGGATGGTGGTCTAATTTTTTTTTACGTCACTACGTAATAACATCTAAAATAAGCAGTTTTTATCGTTCTCCGATCTCTTAGATGGGCAGAAAGATATGATAAAGTCCGAAAAAGTCAAACACCCTGTATCTCAGAAACAAATGTACAGTGGCACCACGCTCAGAAAGTCCCTGACAGGGCGTGTCCGAGGGCGCTAGAAATTTAGACCGTACATTCTGATGCAAAATTTAAAAACATTTTAAGGGAATTACATACCTTATCAGATCGTAGATCGGTAGATCCAAGCTATATGCGACTTGAAAAAGACGAGTTTGTATAAAACTGAAGACGGAAAATAAAGCAAATACAAGAGGAAAAGTGTAAACTAAAATAACGTGAAGCGTCAACTGTCAAAACGGAATAATTAATAATTATGGCGCGGAATGTATCGCGTCATTTTGCCGACTTTCTATTGGCCAGCCTGAATTATTTCCAAATTAGTTCGCATATTTTCCGCGGCTTTTCCGAGCATGGTGGCACTGTAGTCAGATTGACTGAAGTTTCACAAAAAAAGTGGCAAAGGGTCGTGAAATTCGCAAGTCTATATTTAGTATATTTAAAAACAGTTGAAATTCACTGCAGTCTCAACCAAAATACGACACGCAGTACATAATCTACGACCCCCGCTTACTGCTGAGTGCACCTCCCCCCCACCCCCAACGTTGGGAACCTATGATCTAACTTGACATTGGTCTCGAACTAACCCAACGGCAGAAGCGCTCGGAATTTCGGAACGGAGGCAGAGGCCCCAGTACAGATCAAATGCATAAACCACGATATCTCGAGAACGAAGCGTAGTAGGTAGGGGTTCATGAGTGTCTTTGGAAAGCTTCCGGCCTGATCTAACTGTGGATCCATCTAACATGTGCTAGTTAACTTTCCTATCTGTGGTTTACGGTAGATTCCTGTATTAAAAGCCAACAAGATGAAAGTGCAAAAAATCGTATTGCACCTGCAGATTCCTCCCTAAAAATCCCCATTTTCGGAAGAATTTTCGGAAGAATTTGTGTGCTTTTAAGTCTTATGTAAAAAACCTGCTAGTCATAAATGCTTTTTATACATTTGAAAATTATGTGATTTATTGTAAAAATAATCTGTGATATTTTTGTATTTTTTTATTTGCTTGTATTATTTAGTTTAGTGTATGACAACTGTATGTGAAGCATCACATGACCACAATAAATTATTATTATTATTAAAAAAAAGACCATCAATATAAATTGGTGCTTTTTTAGCCAAATCAGTTTCTTTTTGCCTTTTAGATTAGATTCGAACCAGGGACCTGTAGCATCACAATCCAGTTTCAACTGAACTGCGCCACACGGGCCGGAATATGCTATAAAAAGAACAGAAAAACTCGATTTTCTTGTTTTGAATGTAGCACTTATATGTGCCTAGAACACATTAATGCTATTTTTCAGGAAAATGCTAATGAAAATGAGTAAGTGTCCGTATGTGAACCCAGGGTTCTCAACTGATTTTAGCAAAAAAAATAGACTCTTGGTCTCTATTTACATATTTAAAAATAGAGACCATTTAGAGACCCTCGAGAACCAATTTCCATACAAAATTAAGCAAAAAATATTTATTTTGTAATAGATGAGATACATAAACAGCAATATATCTAAACAAGTATAAATTGTGCACAACTCTTGTGCGGATAAAGCGCATTTTTTTACCCAAATAGCTTTTTTTTGACATCACCAATGGATATATTTCTCTTCAGACAATCCGTTCTTGAGGTATAAGGGAATAGTTCGAGGAGGAGGGCTGTGATTGGTAGAAATTAATTCCTTTCGTTGAAACCTTTCATTAGAGTACCATGAAGGAAACTAGGTGCCCCCCCCCCCCTCTTCCCCTCCGCCCCGTACTTTGAGAAGAGGACAGAAAGAAGAAAGGCAGTAGTTGGTAGAAAGCTGAGGAGAAAGCGGTTCCTTTCATTGAGACTTTAATTATAATACAATGAAAGATAAAATAATTTATGTTACACCCCCCCACCCCCCGCTCACTGAGCCGCACGGGAAAGTTATACCTACTGTATAAACCAATTTATTTCGATGATACCTTTCATTAGAATACCATGAAGGGTAGAACATGTGTTTACCCCCCCCCCCTCAATTTTGTAAAGTTCCACTTGGCGCCGCTAAAGGCATGCGTACGCAAAATCTGAGACCAATTGGTTGTCGGGAAATAATTCCGGGGGGGGGGGCACCCTTTTAGACAGCGAAATTTGATGGCCGTCTGGCACACCTTGAAGGTATATACCATTATCCTAGAAGTAGGACGGACGGACAAAACGCAAACAATAGCACATTTTTTTAAATTCCTAAAAAATGCCCTAAAAATGTACAGTAAAATTTCTGCGGTTTGTCAATTATGAATTATACTTTTTTAACATGCAAAATTTAGAGACTTTAGAGACCAAATACGAAAAATAGAGACTTTTAGAGACCAGCATTGAAAAAAGAGACCAATGTCTAAAAAAGAGACCATTTGCGAACCCTGTGAACCAGAACCATTTACGTGCATACAATAAGAGTATTTGTACCTTCTTACTCGTAGTGTTGCATTTATAACTTTTTTTTGTTACGTGTAAGCGATTATGTTTACGTATGCGTGCGATAACTCAACTAACTTACAATAAAAAAGAGAAAAATCCATTACTTCCCTGCAATAAGCGGATTCAGGGGGAGATTAAACGTGTAATAATTATTTGCGCGATTAGTGTAGGGTTAAAAACAAAAAATCATACTTCTCCAAGGGAAATCATCAGTACCTACCATCAGCCTGTCACACAATAAAGATTTCACCTATACCTCAAAGTGGAAGAATTGAATTTCAGTTACGTTAATATCAAACTTTAATATAAATACTAAAAGCAAAAGATAATTGCGTGTTATCCTGAAAAAAGAATCGTAAATTCGAACAAAATGGCGGGAAAATAATTTTCAAACTTCAGCATCATGTTGTGAGACATATTACTGGTGTTTATATGCACTAATTTATGTTATAAGTAATTTTAACTCTTATGCTACAGAAAACACAACCACGTACCAAAAATGCAATTAATTTACAATACCTTCATTTATGTAAAATTAGAAACAATCAATTTTTATGGCCCCAAAGTTTGCAAACTCATTTAAGTTTGCCACAATAGATGAATTAAAATTGAAATTAAAAGAAAATAAAACCAATAATTTAGAAAATGTAATACAAATCCTTATTTAATTGCCGCTTTCACTTTTCTCAATCTAGAGCCCATAGACAGCTCTAAAACCTGAAATAGCTAATCTGAATTTCAACTCACTTTAAAAACCGCATACAATACAATAACGTAAATATCCGAAAAATCTGTATCCATAATTGTTTGAAAACATTTTTTCCCTAGCCTTGAGACATTTATTTACATGATAAGACTTTTAAATATTTAACAGGTTTAATTCTAGATCACAATTGCAGATAAAGAAAGCATTTCAGAAAGTAAGGTTATGTTACATCATCTATGCAAAAAGGGATTTAATGCCCAATTGACTCGCTTATATAAATCAGCATAATACAAAGAATGCAGGTACTAATTTGATAGCACAACTAATTATCAAAATGGTTACTTTAATTAAAAGAAAGTGAAATTGTTTAAACAAGTATAGGTACTAAATACAAACCTGCCGTCCAAAGTATGAGGTCCACTTTGTAACACAACTTGTACATTTTGAGGGTCTGCGAATGTAACAAAACCGAAACCACGAGATCGTCCAGATTCTGCATTTTTCATAACAACGCAATCGATCACTTCGCCGTATCGTTGAAAATACCGTTGAAGATTATCTTGAGATGTTTCCCAAGAAAGGCCCCCAACAAAGAGTTTCCTAAAACAGAAATATTTTCAATTTCCCCCAAAAAAAAAAAAGAATTTCCGTTCTTTGACCGCTTGTTACTGATGCCGCTTGGGGTCGGTGAACGCGAGTTAGTTGAAACAGAAAAATGACGCAAAATGTAAAATTTTACAAGGCTTTGTACGTGTGAGTGATTTTTTTAATTATTAACGGCGTATTACGCGAAAGTTTACAAAAGGCACGGGGAAATTTGCAAGCGACGTGACCTAAAAAGTTTCAACACGCACACATTTCACGTAGTCATTTCGGCAAGAAAAATCGGAATGAAAATTACCCTTTCTCGTCATCGTCCATTTCGTGCGGTAACCTCAACATTCGCATAATATGCCTTATAATCTAACAGACTTAAAAAAAATTCCTTAAACTTTATAATCACACGACAGCCTAAACTACAATGGCAGCTCTACTACTTCCGTCAGTTCAGTTCGTTTTAAGATGACGTGATTAAGGCGCCACTGCTGTCAAACGTAATAGATGGAAAACACAACAATCGAAAGGAAATGTGACTTACCCGTATTCGTAATCTTCCATGATAAATTCTAAAATTCTTACACTAAACTTAAAATTATATTAAACCTACATAAAGTTTAAGAACTATTCTAATTAACAACTACGATACAAATACATAGCGGCATCGGTCAAAGATTTTACTTTTCATTGGTCCTCGTCGCGGGGAGGGATAATGGGTGGGGATTTAGTTGACGCTTCGATTTGTAGATGGCGGTATTTAAAATTCGCCGCCACAAATCGTATACCAAAACTGGTTCGTTCATTATTTATTAAATATGCTCAATATTACCGTGTTGTAAAAGCGTAACCGTTACCTGTAGCTGGCATCTAAAAGGCCAATGTGTTTAGTTCAGGAAAAACCCAGAAATCATTTTAGTATAGGTATTTTTTTTCAGATATGTACTTGGTACCTATTTCAATTTTTTCCCTTGTCCCCCAGTGCGAGTTTCTTGGATTTTTAAACACATGAGCTCCCCCTAGTCATTCAATAACATTTTTTATTCAATGCCTAGTCCCGCCAATGGTCGCTTTCACGTGTAAACCGCGTAGCGAGGGTTGCTTTTATCCTGGGGGTAAATGCCTGCACGTGTTCACGTGAAATAAGCCCGGACTACCTATTTGAGTGTTAATTTTTCAATCAGAACCCCACATTTTCATATACGGTTTTCGCATAAAAAGTATTTTATTGAAAAAAATCATTCTTACTAAAAATATAGCTTTTGTAAGAAAATAAAAAGCATATAATTGGTTTATGGTATCTGTAGACCCAATGTAAAGAGAGTAAATAGCTTGTTGAAAGTTTCAACGTGAAACAACAAAAAAACATTCAATTTTGTCGCAGACCCTTTTTTGAAGTGCTTGAAAAAAACTTGAAAGTTGAAATAATTTCTCAAAAAATTGCCTTTTCTTCAAACTAACTCAAAAACTATGAACGATATCCCTCTAGAATGGGTTGCATCCACTCCTAGGAGAGAATCACCTTTCGGCACTTTTCAAAACCCTGCTTCTATCTCCTTCTTTTAAAAAAAGTGTGTATTGCACATACGTTCTACTCAACTGAAGGGTAACGTGTCATTACGTTTGTCATATACCTATCTTTCTCTCTTGACTTGCCACAAATCTTTTTTTGTAAATTACTTAGTCCAATAAATATATGTATATTATGATTATTATTAGTAGGTACACGATTTTTTTGTTCAAAATGGTCCTCCTTAGCCGTATTTTACCTTTAATAACTGTAGTAACCTGCAATCTTGAAACCAACAGTCTCTGATTGAGTATGCATATGATGCATAAGTTGGAGTTGGAGGGGTCTATATTAATATTTTAAATAAGTTTGAATTGTTGATCAAGAGACTGTAGAGTAAAATCATTGGAGTCGGATATTTTCTACTTTCCCAAGCGCATCAGGTAATATGTTTTTGTTCTTACAGCACATATACATTAATTTCTGTTGCGGATGCATTTTTAAGGAACTTACAAAGTGGCTGAAAGTCCATAAAGCCGGCAGGTCACTTACAGATATTGCAAGGGTCACATCCTCAACAAATTCCCTTATCTCTTACTTCATCAATCAATTATAGATCTATAACGTTTAACCCAGGCTTGGTCTAGCCCCCACTGGAAAATACGGTTGATGGTTTCTTTACAAAAATTACAGGGGTCTTTACCAAAAACTTCTTAAGCCCCCCCCCCCCTCTAGAAAAACACCGGCCTACATTCTGGCTACGGCTCTGATTTAACCACCTCTGGAAAGGTTCCTATGGGTCTAAGTAGTCCAGCAATCGAGCATTTAATAAAATCTATAGTATAGGCACAATATGGGACGGTTAATTTTGCAGAAACGGCCGTATACTGTATTATTAAAATGAACGAACAGAAAACTCGGGAGACATCGAGGCGCCAGTTTTAATCTGTTATATATATATACAAGGTACAAAATAATTGCAATCATGAAAAGTTGATTTCCTTGTCACACCGGACAGTCCCAAATATGTTTCATCTTCATCGATGGAATTGATGCCCTTTGCCGGTGGTGGTGCATTGTCGTCAAAAATGAATCCTGGGAGAAGGGATCGTTGAGGACTACTCAAAAGACTAAAAGGAATAAGGGGACCTTAAAGTAAATATCACTAAGGATAAGGGAGATGTGAAGTCTCTCCAGAAAAAGCTCCTGAGCGAGCTCGTGGAAGGGCCATGGTGCATGGTATGAGAGGAAAACAAAGTATCCGAGATATATTGACGAAATATCCACTAAAGAGAATAGAAGAGGGAGGCGGTTAAAGAAACTCTGGGGGAAATAACAGAGGTGACAGAAAAAAGAGTAGCCATAAGCGGATGACAGAGATCCGTCACACTTCTGTTGCCGAAAATCAGTGAAAGGTGGTTGGGCAGCTTCTGGACAGGAACCACTAAATGCCAAGTACGTAAAAGGGCAGAAATAAATAGATGTGCGGTGTGCTGGGGAACTCACAAAAAAGGAGAAGTGTGTAGAAGAGAGAGACATAAGAAACAAATGCCTCACAACTGCGAGAGGGAGATGCACTTTAAGGATAACTCCCAAAATGAGGAGATGTTTGGTATGCAATGTATATATAAAATATCTATGTTGGTATGCAACATGGACGGGCATGCAGAGGCGGCAAAAAAGGGGGGGTGTGCACAAGCGGTCCGCCCCGGGCGTCATACTGAAAATTGGGTCTTTTGATTAAAACATTTTGAGATCCCTTTACCAAAATGCACTAGAAGCTGGCTCTCTTAACGAATAAAAGTAAAATCTAATTAAAATCTTGGTATATTCATCACCTACATCTACTACAAAGATATTTACAATAGTATTTGTATGAACAATATCAGTTACTAACTCACACCTCTTCTCAGACTTTTAAAAAATAAACTACAATAAAATATTAAGATTAATGAACCGCATATCCCAACTTCTGTAAAGTTACATTTTAGCTTAGTAAAAACATTGGAAAAATGTGTATACTTGTTCTTAATTTCACTGAAACAGTGCAAAGACTAACTACATCGAGTGTAATATAAGCGCCACATAAACATTTAATGGCTATACTTAACTTAATGTTTAACTAAACACGTCTTTACCAAATTTCATTAGGATTTTTCTGTGGCGTTTCCGTATTCCGGTATTATAAAGCCATACTTGACTATGTTGTTGTCAAGGCATGTGATTGGACGATTCTTTGCAAAAACATCCAATCACATGCTTTAACAATATTGTCAGCTGACAACATGGCTTTATTAATACCGGCTTATTGAGATTCAAACTTCTACAGTTTTTTTTGTAATTATTGAATTCCTTATGTTGGTAAAACATGTGCGATTTCATAAGAATGAAATGAGGATGTAGTTAGAACAATTAAAAGAGAACAATACGGATATAAAGGACCTGAAATGTTAAAAACGATAAAGACAAGACTTTGTGATGTGAAATTGCAATATAACAAACATGGAAATGTAAAGTAATAAAATACGTTAACATTTGAAAATAAATAAATCGCCACAAAATAAAATAATCACTGAAAACAACATTATTTAATGGTAACAAATGAATGAGCTCATGCTAGTCATCCACTAAAAACACTTAATTTAGACATAAATAAAATACTAGCTATCTTCGAAAGATACGACTTTTCATTAAAGCTAGGGTTTTTTGCATAAGTGGCGCTTTCTTAGGCTTCACTATCGCTGTCGAGTAAGGAGCACCTAAAACAAGTTGTTTGATTAGTTTGGTATTTATACAAAAAATTTGTCATTGAATTGTGTATTCGCATACACAAAAAGTATGTACACTAATTACCAGTACTTGAGGCAGCACGAGGGCCCGGATTAGGAACAGCCACTTGACCAGCGGCACCAGACACAGCAATTTGTGATAATCGAGCAGACGGCGTAATGGCCGGTCTCTTCTCTAAACTTCCGGTACCGTGCTTCGCCTAAAAACGGTGTTCACTTTTTCGCAATTTATTTAATTATTTGCTGTACCTGCTTGCGTAAAATATTCCGTGGCGGCTTTACGACACTATCCACGTAAGCGAGTTTTGTTTGTCTGACCGGTAACGATTTGTCCTGCGATTGTTTTATATTTGCCGTAAGAGCTTGAAGTTTTGCTTCGCGTTCGTCCAAGCAGCGCATGTACATATCACGCCATGTCTCTAGTTCTTCGCGTTTTTTCGAACGAAACTCCTTATTGCAGTGTAATTGCCATAGTTCGTCGGTATCCTCGATTAAATAAGGGTTATGGTGTTCTAACATGAATAACTGATCCGGATTTGCTCTTTCAATAACAGGCTTGAGAATAAGATATGGGACACCACCCGTGTATTCCAGTGCTACAAAGTACCAAATCAGAATGCAGGTATTATACAGTATCGTCTTCGTGTAAAGAATAGTGACATGACCCTACGGATAAAAAGGGAAACTGTTTTTGATAGTGAGATTTCATAGTTGTGAATGTGAAAATCGAAAAAAGGGGTGCAACTATTGCAATATTGTAGTACTTTACGTTTACACCTCTTACCATAGAGCTAAGTGGCATTTGGGGTTAAAGATACATCTCTACTACTACTTTTCACTTAAAATGTGGAACTGTTTATTATTTGCAAATACTTATATATAGTATTAGTTTTTAGCGCAGTGACGTCATACAACTGTTTTTTCAAATAGTAACCCACATGTTTTATTGACAAGCGAAGTTTTGAAGTGGTTATTAATTTTGAAATACGAGTATTAACTGGGAGCAACGTTCCTTGACTGTAGAAAATAAACTAATTATGACTAATAAACACAAACCCGAGTAAAAAAAAAAGCACGTAAGGTTGTAACACAACAACATGGAGAAAACGTATCATAAAATATCCCGAACAAATTAGAATTATTAATTTAATAAGGGGTACTCTTTGTTTTTGTCTGAGAATAGATATCAGTTTCAGGGGATGATTTTTTGGGGTTTAACTGCATAAGTTAGACGAATTGGGGCGTAACAGTTCCATAACCTTATATTTCATTCGATATTACTTAATCAATTTTATCGTCATTTATCTCGAGACAGTAGATTATTGTGGAACCTAGCGGGGATATAAACAAAAATGATGCTATGCACATTTTTACATAACTGTCACTAAACGGTCAAGTGTAGGGCAATTAATTTTTCCAAATGGAAACCTATACTTTTTATTGAATATTCTTATTCTACATCCAAAAAATAATAAGCTTTCCTGGGAAACGTTTTGTCCCTACACAAATATTTTTAATAAAATTTAAATATTAGGTGTGCGGATTATCGAGGCGCTACTGTATAATTATTGATACATCAAAATTTAAATGTTACCTTCTTTTCAAAAACTCCAAAATACAGGGTGTTCATTTTTCGAGTTGGTTAAATGAGGGCAAAGTTGCAAATTTTCGTGCTGAATTATCATCTGAAAAGAAATGTAAAACATCTACAATAGTTTCGAAAATATTGCAAATAGACGAAAATTTCCGATTTTCGTTTTTAATTTTTTCCATGGTAAACTATCCATTTTAAACCAAAACATTATTAAGACACTTTTTTATGGAGAATTCGAAAGTGGTTTCCCATTTTTAGTAACTTTTAAGATGACGGGGAAACACGTACGTGGCACCTTTATTTTTTCTTAAAATCGTCATTTTGAATTTTGACATTTTCGGATTACGTATTTTTTTCTCTTTACAACAATGTATCACACATGGTGGTTCAGTATCACATTTTTCCTAAAAATACAATTTTTCGTATTTGCGAAGAGTGCTTTGGAAAAACAAACCGTTCTTTTGTTGTGAACAAAAGTTTAACAGTTTGATCCTAATTCAAGCAGTGTCATTTACGTTTGTGCTAGTTTTATTCCGAAAATGCCTTTTTCAAGTGCAGAACAAAGAGATATTTATTTATATTATTTATAATTTGCATAAAAAATCAAGGTGACTGGTTCGTTTAAAAAATGTATACGATAATATGGCGATATGTCTATTGAATTGCAAATGGTAAAAATGTTATATGATTAGGTATAAATACTAAAATATTCAGCATTTAATTCTTACTTAGGTACAAGACAATCCATCTGTCGCCTCAAGAGAAGTTGCAGCCCAACTGAATTTGCCATCACATCAAGTTGTTTGGAAAACTCTTAAAAAACACAAATATCGGCCTTGGGCAATTCATATTTCTCAAATGTTTTATCCAGGAGATCATGAACAATGGGTAGCTTGTTGACTGAATGTAAGGGTTGGTTTATTAGGTGTTACAATAATTGTCCTTACATCTACGAAGAGACTTTAAATGCTGATCGATACATTTCTTCCAATTTTATTGACAATAACATTCCTCTTCATTGTTTGAACGCAATATGGTTCCAACAAGATGGCGCACCGCCCCATAATGCTGGGTGGATTGGGGGAATGCTTGTCGGAAATGTTCCCCAACCATGTTATTGCTAATAATGGCGACGTATACTGGCCTTGGACTACTAAAAACGAGGGGCCATACTCGAATTCTCCATTAAAAAAATGTTAAAATACTGTTTTGGTTAGATGGGCTTAGTATAATATTAATTAGTCATGACAAATCAAAAATTTTCGTTTTTTTGCGATATTTTAAATTTCTGTTATTTTCTTTGCCTCATTTAACCATCTTTCTATCTTTTAATAGATAAGCGAGATCCCCATAGTGGTACTCGAAAAATGGACATCCCCTATATAGAGTGGTTCGTATGAAAAAATTTAGTTTAGGGTAGTTTATCGAAGTTCTCGTGTGAGATCGAAGGGACTTCAGCCCTTTTTTGTGTGGAAGATCAGTACTCTATTAGCCAGTTTTGACTCTAGCATCAATAAGATGTTGTTAGAGGCGTCATTTTAGTGGATTTCGCTAAAAACCCTTCACAATTTTTGAAGCTCATAGCTCGAGTTTCTATTGGCGACATGACGAGGAAGAGATTTAAGAACTTTAAACCGCCTGACAAAATTCGCAGCGGAAGGTAACTTTTGGGCGTCCGAAGTCGACCATCCCTTGAAGACGCGCGCCTTGTAAAAGGTGGTTATTTTTGTCCCTAGGAAAAAAAAAACAAAATTCCGTCACGCAGGAGTTGTGCATTTTTACAAGATCTTTCCAACGACACCGGTTTACACACAATCGGACCAAAATTGTAGAAGAAAATAGGAAAAACCTGAAAAAAAACCACGTTAGTAAACCATGCTCGGGGATAGCGCCCAGATGTCGCACATCCTGTAGTACAGTGTGATTGATTTTGCATGTCCAAGCGTATATTTCTTTTATTATTAGAGATAAGAAAAAAGTGTAAAAAACAAAAATACTCAACTTTCAAATTGTGATAAAACTACATATTCAAAAAAACAAGAGATATAAAACCAAAAGACTATCAGAAAACAAAAACAATTTTTTTTAATAGACTGGTTACTTTTTTCTGCAGAGCTTGAAATTCTCTTTACAATGATATTAAATAGGTTGTACTCATAATTACCTTAGAAATTAAAACTACAGTAATATTTTTAAAACCAATCGCAGTAACTGTGGAAATTGAAACAAAAACAAAAGAGAGTTTTTCACTTGTCATCGTCTGTCTACAAAATGAGATTGGTGAACAATATGTTATATAAGAACCACAATGCAACAAAACAATAATTACACAGATGTAATGATAATACATAGGAAGCAAGTGCAATGTATTTAAATTTGTCTTAAGTTATAATAGTTATTTCTGTAACTGCCTTTCATTTGTTTTCTTAACTTCCTGTTGTAAATTTTATGTTTTTGATTAAATTCCACAGCTACTGCGATTGATACAGGAAACACATTACTGTAGCTTTAATTTCTAAGGTAATTATAACATATTTGATACATTGTAAAAAGAATTTCAGCTCTTTAAAAATATTACAGAAAAAAAAATTAATTTGTTTTCTGATAGGTAGAGTATTTTTGCTTCTTATACTTTTTTCCTATCTTCAATAATAATAGAGATATACGCTTGGACACGCAAAATCAATCACACTGTATATAGGAAAAGTAAAATTGGTCTTCCTTAAAAAAAAGGTAAAGTGATATTGAATTGGGACATAAATTGTTTATTTTTAACATTCCAAGTGAGCAGATGATATTGCTGATGCTGGCAACACACTCTTCCTGTCTATTTCTGGACCCCAGAAAAAAAAACAAATTTTGATGCTCTACCCTGGTACAGAAGTAGCGCGGTTGTACGAGAGATGAGGAAATGAGAATAGAAAATGGTCAATGGATCCAACATCTATTCTTGCAGCTCCAGAGCATTTAGAGCTAAGAGTGATAAAGAACTTTTTATTTTTGGAGTTCAGGGTTTTGTCATTTTTTGGCAAATTACTATAATTGTTTTATTTACCTGAATGTAAGAAAAAGTTTACATTTACTACACCATTTACTCAACTGATGAAACCTTCTTTACTCAGCCTTAAGCGCTAGCGTTAAGTTGGTTTCTTTACACAATTGTATCAAACACTTACCATCAATATTATCTTGGAGTACTCGAGTGCAAATATCAAACAAACTAGGAACTGCACCCCACGCTACCTTATTTCCAGAGTACACTTTTGTTCTGAAAGTTAGACATTGAAATGAACGTTGAAAGATCACACGAAATATCTATTGAAAAAAGCTTTACCGAGAAATCTTAGAATACATGAGGGCACCAAGCACTTCATCGTCATTTATAACCTTTTTTGAACCGGTACTGTACGGTAAACCCATCGGTCGATAATTCGGCGTAATTTCCGGAAGTAAATTATCGACGGTAACGTCAAGCGGTGTTAACTTCTTCGTGGGCGTCAGCAACTCGGGAACCTGCAGAAAATTTCTTTACACAAGTGCAAGTTATTAGGCGGATAACTTACATTAGATGGTGCGTTATCAGGAGAGTAAGGACGTACGACTGCAACTTTTTTCTTACTCGCCTTACTCGAGGAGACGCACATGCCCAAAGCCTCCGCGAAGCTGGCGCCCGATCCGGAACAGATACCGTTTTCACCAATTTCTATGTTTGATTTACGCGAACTCTTTTTTTCAGACTTACTACTACTACTACTACTATGTCTTTTATCACTTTTATCGGAACTACCTTTTGATTTTTTGAGTTTCGGCTCATCTTTTACTTTGTCTTTCTTCTCATCGGTTCGAATCTTTTTTCTTTCAACTTTTACGTCATTATCGGACTCGTCGCTATCAAAACCATTTCTGTTTGTATCCTCTTCACTGTCACTCAGCTGCTTAGGCCTACATTTGGAGGAAGACTTCTCATCTTTCTTAGATTGCTTATGCTTCGATTTCCTGTTCTCCTCCTTTTCATCATCGCGGCTAGATTTTTTGTGTTTGGATGAACTACTCTTGTCCCTACTGCTATGCGATTTATGTTTCGACTTTACCACTTCCTCTTCTTCGCTTTCACTAGTGTACCGCTTAGAATTGGTTTTTCGATGTTTTGACGAACTACCTCCTTGTGATTTACGATCAACATCTTTGTCACGATTACTGCTAGATTTGCTAGGTTTATCGTCCACTTTTTTACGTACAGTCTGTTTGCTGTGTGATGTCTCTTCGTCGGAGCTTTCATCGTGTTGTTTATTATCCAACTTTTTGTTTTTCGTTAAAGTTTCATCTGCCCTACTTTTATGAAACTTGGATCTATGTTTTTCTGAATCACTTTCATTCTGTGACTCTTCACTACTATCACGTTTCCGTTTCGACTTATGTTTAGAATATTCTTTTTTATTTTTATACTCGTTTACACTTTTCTTCGAGGTATTCTCATCGTCACTAACGGAACTAGATTGAGAATAATGGCTCTTCCCATTATCTCGCTTAATTTTTGTATCTTCATTATAAGAACTAGATTCCTCTTGCGTTTTTCTAGAATGGCTCTTTGTTTCTGTTAAAAAACTTGATCTTTTATCACTTCCTCTATGACTAGAATTATGTTCTTTTTCAGATTTGCATTTTTCTTTATCAGTTTCTTGCTTTTTAGCAGGCTCTATTTCTAAAATGAAAGTGTTTGTACGTAAATCGTAATATAAAAATGAATTTACTTGGCACACTGTTTGTCTCTTTCTCGTCACTAATTGCTGCAACCATTTCTTTCCATTTACCTACCAGAGTTTTAGCGGCTTCCCCTATGTCCCCATTAAGCTTTCGCAAGGAATTAACCGTGCGCCCCACACCTGTTTTCTCTAAATGTTCTATACATATTGGCATTTTATATAATTTGGAAAGACAGTACAATACCTAAAAATTAAGCCATTAATCCCAACAGAAGAAATCATTCCATCAGTGGGATACCCTGGCCTCGTCATTTCTGCGGGCGTATTTATCTAAACAGTGTTGGTAATGCAATATTCCAGCGATCAGTCCCTTTTCTTCCATAATGAAATTTATTTAGGAAATTTAGTACGAATTTTCCCTTTTTATTTCCTTCATTAAAAATACCAAACAGCTGGCAACTTGCTCATGACGGTTCAGTGGTAGGATGACTTTAATCATACTGTTCAACTGTTATACATCAGCTCTCGATGCTGTACAAGATGAGTGAAAATGTATTTTCCAGTTTACGGCCCAAGATTAAATCAGAAATTTTAAACAACAATCCCAAGTTGATAAGCCAATTTAACGACTTCAAGCTGTAAATCATGTAAATCGAAAGATTGATGCCATCTGTACATACCTAGAAAGATCATTTTCCTTTATAATATACTCAGTGACATGGATATTAATTGCAACACCAAGAAGGAGTAGCAATTTTTTTACCAAACTTGGCAGAAACGTTTAACTACTAAAAGGTAACAATTGATTAAAATTTCATTCATATGGATCAAGTGGTAATGGCTTATTTGACAGTTCTTTAATTTTTTCTACTAATTTTATATGGTGTATGTTTTGCGAGATTTTGTTCAGTTCTTATTGTTTTCGTTTTAATCATTTCTTTTGAGGCTGTGATCATGCCTAGAATACGCCAACGTGGAATTTACCGCGAATTAAGAGAAGTCGACAGCTGTCGTATTGTTGGTTTGGACAAAAGTGGTTTTTCTGCCAGAAAAATTGCAAATCAGCTTAACCGAAGCCAATCCACTATGATTCGCTGCAATCAGGCATGGATTTGGGAAGGTCAGGATCGCCGCAGAGTGGAAACGGGGGGGGGGGGGGGGGGTGGGGGGCGAAAAAGAACAATTGAAGTGCGATATCGCCATCTTTGACTTATGGCAACAAGAAACCGATTCTCTAGTACCAGGTCAATTGCCGATCAATTGTTAGCTAATGAAGGTCGTCCTGTAACACTTCGAACGGTTTACCGCAGAATCAGAGCTTACGACTTGCAATCCTATCGGCCACATCTTTTGTTACCATTAACAGCTCAACACCGCTGGCAGCGTTTCGAGTGGTGTAGGTTGCGACTGCACTGGAACCTAGAGTAGCATTGGGCGGTGTTCAGTGATGAATCCCGATTTTGTTTGGGTATACATGATGGCCGTATGAAGGGCAGTCGAAGACGTGGGGAACGTCGCAATGTTGAATTTTCTGTTATGAGGCATGTGCACTAAGCTGTGGGGACTATGGTATGGAGTACCATAACTTATGGGAGTAGGGCTCTTTTGTTATTCATTCGAGGTAATATGACTCCCCCAGCGATATGTGGATGACGTGAACCCGATATTCTTCCATCTCTTCAGCAGTTGGAAGTCCCACTTTTCCAGCAGGATAATGCCCCTCCCCACATTGAAAGACGTTCTATGGACTTATTTGCACACGATAATGTCAATTTCTTGCCATAGCTACCCAGATCTCCCAGTATCGCCTATCGAGCAAGTTTGGGACATTATGAAGAGAAGACTGATGAACTTACCGCATCCTCCGCAGACGCTGCAAGCTCTACACAATGAATTAGAGGTTACTCACAGTTGCTTGGGACACAATACCTCAAGAGGAAATCGGCCGTCTGCTAAAATCGATGCTACGAAGAGTGAGGGAGTGCGTAACCAATAGGGAGGGACTACTATTATTATTAATAAAAATATGTTTATATTTCATCCTTTTTCTTTTAAATTTTAATCAATTGTTACCTTTTAGTAGTTAAACGTTTCTGCCAAGTTTGGTCAAAAAATTCCAACTCCTTCTTGGTGTTGCAATTTCCATGTCACTGAGTATATTATTATTATTATTACCTAGTGTAAATCCTAAAGGTATCAGAAAACTGATTTTACATTTAATCCAATCCTTACACCAGTACTAAATGTACTTCCTGTTTGTTTATATCCTGGTTATACAATTTCTCGTGTACTGCTAGCGAATTTGGAACGTTAGCAGTACAAGGCACTTAAAGGTACCATGAAACTGATGTGTATGTATTCAGTACCCAAAGAAAGTACTAATACGGGTTATCGATATCCAGTGTACTGGCTAGCTTCCAAATCCCGCCAGCCAGTACATAAAAATATCGGCGTTCTTCATAGGTAGTACATTTTTGCTGTTGTTTTAAGATAGTACTCAAACAGTACTACAGAGTACTGATGTACTGGCTACCATTCACCGCACGCCACAATTTGAGACATACCAGTTTGATTAACCCCAAATCAAGAATGATTCGATTTGAGTTGATTACTGAATTTTACCACAAATAAATCGATTGTTCGAACACAATTGCGTACCATATATGGTCAAATACAAGTAAAACATAGGAAAGACAACGCTTTTACCTTCATTTGATAGGAGAAGTGAGCTCAGCTCCCCGGCATTTCCATAAAATCTTGCAAACTTCTCAAGCCGCCAGAGTTCGGAATGCAAAGGAAACTGAACAATGCCTTGAATTAGTGGCGGATCTAAGGAAGCAGCGCCCCATGGGCAACCTTGAGTAAGGCTTTCCTTAAACTATCCCCTCTCCTCCGACTACGCCCATCAATTTTTTTAAAATCATGGTTTGGTTGTGGAATATTATAGAATTAATTAGTGATGATTGATTAATTATTCTATACATTACTTACATTCTTGGATGAGGAACAGAAATTAACTAAACAGCTCGAACAGTGTATAATTGCAGAAAAACATCTAATATTAGAAAATGTAAACGCGTATAGATACATATATAAAAAATAAAAATATTTAAGATACAATAAACGATAAAATACAGGTATAAATATATTTCAAAACAATTTGGCGCCCCTTCTAACCTTTACATTTGCAAAGTAGTCTATGATTGATTCTAAATCCAATGTTTCTGCTATTTTTTTTTCGACATTCAAAATGCTGAAATCGTTCAGTCTCTCTTCGGTTAATGTACTTCTTCGAGGTTGCATGATATGTTTTAAAGAACTCATAACACGTTCCACATTGGCTGTGCTCACTGGAAGCGTTAAAAATATTCTCAGAACGGCAACAAATTCTGGGAAACATTCTTCGAGATTTTTGTTCAATATGAATTCTAAGTACTGTGATACGCACCAGTTCTGGGAGATCATCAACCCTTCAGTGTAATTTGTCAATAGGATTAGTAGGATAGGATATCGGTAGTAAGCATTCCAACAATGTTATTGTTATGACTTCCGACTCTATATGAGATATGATGGGCGCCCAAACCATTTTTTTTTCGCAGAAAAAACATTTTTTATTGGTTAAGGGGCCTCGAGGGACTTCGGCCCCGTAGGCGAAGGCCTACTACGCCCACCGTTAAATCCGCCACTGCGAAGGACATTGCCTTACTGATAGTAAGATACGGTTTTTAGCCAACGCTTCGGAAGAAAGTGGCCATCTACAATGACATACGTGAGAACAATCGATCATAACTTTACAGAGGTCGCAAGATAATAAATACAAATCCTGGACGTAACAAGTTCATTAAAAGTGAGATCATATAACCCTAAAGGGGTAAAAATAGTTATTGATTAATACGCTAGAAAGTTACGGAAGTTGTTTCTTGGTTGTGGATCGAATCTTGTTATCAAATCTGGTGCATGACCCAGTTTCAGTAAATGGCGGCTCCCTTATTAGTAAAGGAAAGGCCGTCAAACGGTGTCGTTAGTTTGTGCACATATAGTGACTTTACATCAACCTCGACAGCAACTCATTTTTGATCACCCGTTACTTAAAAGCTGGAATTGGAACTGGTTCTTGAACTGGAACCATAAATTAAAGTAGCCTTGAACGTGACATTAAAACTGGAAATTAAAATCTTAAAAGAAATTAAATGTAACCCTCGTCGTTGATAACCTTAAAATGTACATATCTCTTTAAATAAGAGATATATAGATGAATGTGCAACAATCGTCGATGGAAAATTGTATTAAAGATCAGCAGGAACATAAAGAAGATATACGTCAAACAGATTAAATGCAAATGGCGTACTTAGAATGAAGAAGAATAACGCAACTATATCCTCCTACTGGAGTGACGGGTTGAAATTCCATTCACAAATTGATGCGGAATTCCCCAATTAACCGAATTTAATCGTCAAATATGGGTTGGGGCAATTAAAATCCCATGCGTTTTGCTGTTTGATTAAAAATAAAGTGCACTCTGCCACAGCTGATGAACGAAAGAGGAAAATTAATGTTAACCATCGATAACGAAAAATTGCAGCGGTGTGAAATTACGCGCTGGTAATTGCCTGTTTAAAATTCCAAGGTTACAACTGTTACGAGAATCAATCAATAAGTAAATATACCGGGAACAATAAAAATGCTTCTAATGAAGAAAATAAATCGTTACTGTTACTAACTTACGGAAGAAGAACATAAAGAAGATGTTCTTTTTTATTAGTCATCGCAAAAATAAATCTGAAGACTGAGTGCTTTCTAATATATGTTTAGAAGGAGCGCATAAAGTAACAATCGTCAAAATCCACTTGACTTTACGGTTTGTAATAAATGTTATAAAGAGTACCTTTTTAGCGCTTATATTAAATTCATTCATATTTATAACACTTCATAATTGGGAATTTCGGGTTCTGATGTAAGAGCATATGATGTGGGCTCGGGTGTGGCAGTATGAGAGCGAATATTGACATCCGGTAAAGTTGAAGTTAATGGGGAATTGTATCCATGAGTAGTAGATGGATGTCGGAGATTGGCCATTGGTTCTGATTTGATATTGGAATTTCTTGTCGCGTAATTTTCTCAATTTCATACTCTGAAACCATATACATAACTTCGGCTTTCATTTTTGCTTTATCTATTGGCGAAAATGTTGAAGCTGACCGACTCTTAAAAAAACATATTTTTTTACTACTACCGTCTGATTACATAATTATTGACCTTTTTTTCACTTGTAAAGTGGGCTTTCTTTCTCGGTAGTTGTTCAAAGTGGTTAATAATGTGGACATTATTAACTACTAGTCAATAATGAGAACTGTCAAGCTGTCACTTTTAGAAATCACAACCCAAAATTTCGCTCAATAAACGTTCTATAAAATGTATAATTGCCACCACCGTCATTTGTAGAGAAATTACATACCTACAATTATCACATTTTGAAAAATCGAACGAAATTACTGTTGATTCTGTTTACTAACATGGTGAATATGGCGATTGTTCCAAATCGCGTCAGGCGTAAGGCGAAATAG